GTCGGCCCTATTCAGCTAGATAGTTATCTGGTTTCTCGTGAGAAGTCGTGACACATGATGTACAGAAAGTCAGGTGTGAGGACAAATACGCGCCATCGATGACATTCGCAAGTGCCAGTCGCTATATTTCGTCAATTGGAAGAAGTCTGATTTCATGGGTTGGCCATTCAATCAGGCTGAGTCCCACTGGCTTAGTGATCTACGAGCTCATCTTGTAACTGAAAGGTCCTGGGTTCATACTATCGCTGCATTTGCGTACTACTAAAAAGTCGCAAACTAAGGTGACGAAACAGCTGTCCAGTAAGTAATCCTTGGTGGTTTTCCAATGGTTCTCTAACCGATGTCAGTTCCTGATAGGATTCTATAACCATTCGAATCCCTGAAAACCGACACTTAAACATGAGATGACTGTTCCTGAACTATATCTGTTGCTAGCTGCTAGCCAAATTGGTAGACAGTAATTTACGTCAAGGTTTATGTCCCAAATATTAGTCGTGAGAAAAATAAGAACAAAGACTTTGCGTAGACAGTTACAGTTAGCATACAGATGATCTGACATTCAAGAAACAGCCACAAAGAGATGAAACATCAACTTTCAGTGAGAAACAACCAATCAGAAGACTGTGTTTTCTGCTAACAATAATCTATAATGATGTACATTAAAATCTATAAATATATGTTGATTCCCTTAATAAAGGATCTGTTGCCTGGCCCATGTCTTCTGTCTTTACATATTCATGGGTTTCAAAATACACTCCTGAACTTTTCGTAAATGGTATTCAACCAAATTTTGTGTATTTCTCGAGGTGGACAAAGAAGCGATATCATATTAGATTGGTTTTCGCTGTAGGTCAGACAACAGTGTGTCAAACAATCCACTATCAATTAAGATTTTTTTCATTTAAATATCTTGGATAAAAAGAAAATACCACACAGCAAACTCTGGCGAAAATTGTTTACATTAAATAAACATGGTTAAGAATAAAGCTATTATTATAAGTGTTAAAATATATCCGTCACGTAGTATATGTACGCTCAAACTGAAATTGCATAAAATAGACTAAAATGACTTCGAGATAATTTCTATGGGATGATGAATAAACTCGACAAGATACAACTGTGGAATTTTTGTCTAGGCATGGATTTTGTGTTTTCGGTTTAAAATAAAGGCTCTTCATAGCCTAGTGAAGTGTTAGCTAACAACTCCGTTATGTATTTGCCTATAGGTTAATTAATGCTAACCAACATTTCACTTAGTGCGTCAGTGGCATAGCGGTTAGGACACTCGCCGACCATGTACATGGTCCAAGGTTTGATCCCCGGCCACGGAAGCACTCCCAAACCTCGCTAAGCCAATATTTAAAAAAAGCTGGTAAAGGGGAAAGGTTGGCCATGAGGCTAGCAATGTCATCCTGTAAAAATAAATACCACAGCTACAGAAGCTTGAAGCCTCTACCTTGAAGCCCTATATTCCACTGCGAAGAATATACCTAGTTGTGTAATTCCTGGAAGGGATAGTCACCACAATAGGTGTGAACTCACTTGGCAATAATATATGACTTCTATAATTGAAAATACGGAGTTCTGATTTTCAAATGAATAAATGCACATTTATCGGATTGTGGATAGAAATCGTTTTCAAAGATTGCAAACTAATAGGTATTTGAAATAATAGAAGATGAATAAATTTCATATTGTATCTAGCGAAGGAATAGCAGTATGAAAGAACATATATATATATATATATATATACTGCTCACTGACGAGTAACTGGTATAATGTGTCCAGTATGGATATCTCTGACTGCACCACTGGGTAGCAATAGCTGCAGTCCCGGAGTTGACATCATTATAAGATAAACGCTGAACTTTTTGAGCTATAGAAAAGTGAAACCACCTAAATAATACCTTAGCTAAGTCATTTACATTGCCTTTTGTTGAATTCATCTTTTTCCAGATTTTTAGTTAAATTAAATCCTGATGAAACAGAATAAGACTATTATTATTATTATAATTGTTATTTGTCGCTTGCGTTATGAGTGAAACATAGGATTTTAGCAGCACACTTTCAGTTCACCAAGTTCTCGGAGGTCTTTTTCACCTGACTGACTGACTGACTGATTTCAACATAGAAATTTGCACCAATGTGCACCAGTTCGAGTTGTCACTTTCCACTTAGCACACAAATACAGAGAAGAAAGTAAAAAGTGATTCAAAACAGAGATAATAAACACAGATATAAGGCGGAAAGAATAGTGATAACAAAGAACAATATAGTTTTGTTGGGTATTATAAACCACAAAAAGTGAATGCATCTGCACCATTGGGAAAGATTTTGAGCCATATCATCAATTGTCTCCATCCATTGGTGTTTACCATCCTGAGGACTCCAACCAGGAAGTTGACATCTCCCTATGTGAGTGGCTTAAACTGACTGTTGTGGAATTTGTTGAGTGATGGCATGTTTTCACTTGACTACCGCTTCCACTAATTCTTTTCCAACTTGTACCTATGTAAGTCAGCTAACACTGCCCATCAAAGAAGACGATGCCTAGGCAAGGATGCGTAACACGTGTCCTAACCATTTCAGTCGATTTTAGCAGCCTCATTGATTGATTTCCTCTCCCACCCACCTAGCACTTGACCGATGCCTAACCTCAATATTGGTCACCGTATTATACCGCTTCACACAGGAGATAGAACGCATGCACCTATGATCAAAGACAGCTAGTCTTTTCATGTCTTCCACTCTCAATGACCTGGTCTCACAGTCATAAAGGAGGATGGGGCGGAGTGCTGAGCAGTACACACGCGCTCTGGTTGATAGCCAGCTGGATTTCACGTCTACACTAGAGGCGGCGTAAACTGGAATATGCGAAACGAGTCTTCTATATCCGTGCTAAGATTTCGTCAGCGATCAACCCATTGGCACCGCCTCATGCAACTTCTCAAATAAGTGAGGCGGTCGGTTGTTACTTCTCCGCTGCCCACACCGTGAAAGTTGACTGATTCTCCAGGTGACTGAAACAGAGAGATGGTTAGGGTTGCGTGAGAGTTCAGGAGACAACTGCTTGAGGTCGGTCACATACGGCCTGCATGAACTCGCTTTTAGGTTTGGTTTCGTATTAGTAACTTACCGCCGGTTACGGACCGCCGTGGGGTGAGTCGGGATGTATAATTTTCGGGTTGACCTTTTATAACCCCCTCCCTCCAGAGTGGAGAAACAGCATATCTGGCTGGCATGCTGTTCGTCTGAGGGAAATACCTCACTGCAGTTACAACCCTGTTCTCCAGCAGTACGACTTCGCCCTCAGACCCCCATCATAGTGTAAGAAAGATTCTTACACGATGCCGTTAACTGCTTTTAGTCTTATCGCTATCTTAACAACCTTCCTAGCATGGAAGGACCTTCAGGAACAATAGTATCAGCCAGTGTAGCTCGTTGGGTCATCGCAACATGCAATCCTGACCACCACGTCAAGGTAGCAGCTATCGGTCATCTAAATCCACGACTGCCCGTAAACTTTTATTTTCTCCTCATGTGATTTCTCCTGTGTCACCCTCGGACACCCAACTGGTGGATTGTTTCCCATTCAGGTCTCACTCGAAGCCTTACTGGTGTGTGATATCACTTAACGGTCTCCTCAGTGTATGTACAATCCACCTCCGTTTCCTTCAGCATATTCGTCAGTTAGTAGATGCTTGGCCAGTTCACTCACTGCCAGAATCCCTCGTTGCCTACTTTTTCCTCTCATCCATCTGATCTCCAGTACTAAGCGATGGCATCTGTTGATAGAGGTCTATAGAAGTCTACTAAATATATTTTTTTCGATGCATACTTCAAGTCTCTGAATGGTATAGACGAAGTGACGCAAAACTAGGACTGAAAATCAAAATCTTGTTCTTTCCACACTGACCTCATGGCAACAAAGGTTCATCTTAATTTTCCGACACTGCCGCTGACATACTCATCCATGATTTTGCCTGTATGTGAAGTGATACTGCCAGCCCAGGTAAGTGATACACGTGATTTCCCTCAAACTTCTTTTGTTGATAGTATTTAGTGATTGTTGTTGTTGTTGAGCGTGGAGTATTTTCCTCACCTATGCTTTCTCCACGTTCAATCAAATTCCCGTCTTTTCTACCTTTTCTAACAACCTGTTGCTTTTTGCTTGTAAATCGTCACGTTTTAGTAACATAAGGCATAAACCGTCCACGAAGTCCTAATCTTCTAGAGCTTTTTCTATCGTCCAGCGTATGCCTGTCTTATCGCAATCCACAGTTTACCACACCCAAGAATACCATCTGTGATAACAGTAGGCAGTCTTCTGTTACTTCTGTCTTCACTTCGACGGCTTTGCAGAGCTTTAAAGTAGACGCCATTGATTTATTTCCTTTAGTTTTCCTCTTTAATTCATCTTCCACTTATTTTGACAATCTAATCATAAACTGAGTATTCTCAACGTGGATTTTTCCAAAGGGTTAGTTTTCAAGGATTGACTGGTTACAGGACTGCGTCGGTGGCACAGCGGTTAGGACGCTCGCCGACCATGTTCATGGTCCGGGGTTCGATTCGCGGCCGACGCACTCCTTTACCTCGCTAAACTCATAATGAGACTGCTAAAGAGGAAAGGTTGGGCATGAGGCTAGCGACCCCATCCTATAAAAAAAAACACTGCTACAGAAACTTCAAGCAACTGGCTTGAAGCCCTATGTTCCACTGGGGAACGTGTAGGAAAAAAAATGAGAAGCTTACATCGGTTAGAGAAGCATTGGAAAACCTGCACAAAGTACTGGATAGCTAGCTGTTTCGACACCCTAGTTTGGGATTCTGCAGCGATGCACACCCACTAAAGGGGGTTTTAACCCAGGACCTTCCAGTTACAAGGCAAGCTCGAACTGGATGAATGACCAACCCACGAATCCCGACTTCTTCCAATTGACGAAATAACACGACTAGCACTAGCGAATGCCATCGATAGCGCGTATATGTCTTTACACCTAACTTTCGATACCCCACTGGTAAAGACTTCCCACTTCTTCAAAACCACTACTGTTAGACAATTTATTTCAAGGACCCTTAAAAAAGTCTCATTCTCCAACCAGTTTTATTAACAATAAGGAATACGAATTGAATAAAGACAGAACACTCAACTGCTTCATAAAAAACACATACATACATAACTGATCACATCGAACAAACTGATCATATTTGCTTGCTTTATTTATTTATCTATTCAGTAAAATAAGGTAGTTTGTACTCTGAAATAATATTAATAATAGTAATAACATTAATTATGGGGGGGGGGGTTCACCACTTTCACATAAGTAAAATGTAAGTAAGAAAACAAAACTTATCACAATATCCTCCACTGGGTCAAAGCACATAGAATTCGCCTTCGTATTCAATAACAACAGTTGAAATGTCTCCCATATTATAAACGAATGACTGAAGGACCGATAATTGTCATGGTAACAGCCGTAGACAATAATTAAATTAGAAGAGATTGATGAGGACATAAAGAAGACGAAATGAAGGAAGAAAGGAAAGGAAAGGCTTTAAAAGAAACAGTAAGAGTTAGAGAATAGACAAGTCAGAGAGGGAGAGAGAGAAAAGACAAGTGAATCTGGCCGTTTTGCTTCTTTCTGTTTTGATAAAGAAGCTAACGTATACCTGCATATCGTTTATAAAGTTTTTCCTGTCGAGTTGTAGTTTTTATCGTATTCTTTTGCATCATCTGGATCACGTAGATATGTTGATGAACTAACACCTTCACTTCTTTTAGCTATTTGATATGTATTCATGACACCAAATCCAAGATAAAGTATTAAACCTGTTTAATGTTTGAAAAAAGAAAATAGTGAAGAAGAAAGTTGATATTGGTTGATTATCTCGAAGAATGACTTGATAATGTTTATGAAATTAACACACTGTTTGGATGGAGGGTTTCAACATGAGCTGAAATCAGTTAGAGAACCATTTGAAAAACCTGCAAGGAGTACTGGACAGCTGTTTCGTCACCCTAGTGTGGGATAATTCAACAGTACGTACGAAACAGCTGTCCAGTACTCCTTGCAGGTTTTCCAATGATCAGCTCATGATGAAATCCTCCATCCAATCAAAATAAAATCCCCACAAAACCAATACTTGAAAATTAAAACACTTTCTTCAATACTATAAAGCATAATCTATAGGAGTAAAATATGTTCACCGAGTTAATGATTTCTAGCGAGTAATTTTTTCGATCAAAACTTCATTAAACATCTTCAGGGTTATTCCATATTAGTTTGTTTATTAGATGTATCACACAGTGAAACAGTATTACTGTTTACTGGATGACGTTTCGAAGAAAATTTATTGTTCATAATCATACCAATTGTAATCACACGACTTTGAAATTTGAGTTTTGTAGTTTTCTTTGTCTTCTCCTATTGGTCATAAAGGTAGTTGGATTTTCCAGATATCTGGCTGGACAGGTGTTGAATCATTCCTATCACATGTATTCGCAGTTGATTCGACAAACAAAGCTTCCATTGTTATCAATCTCTCCCTCCAACCTGTTACATTAGATTTTATAACTGTCATCTTATCCCATCCAGCCTATTGTATGGTTGTGTGTAACTGCACACATAGTAACTGTGTAACTTATTATTATTATTATTAATAATGACGACACCAGCAATAAAGAATCTAAATTATCAATAGTAATTCCATACAAGGAAGGAAACTCGGAAACCTTACAGCGGAGAATTCTTAACAAGGCCTAGATATAGTGGCTGACATTCAAACCCACAAACTAAATCAGAAACAAGCTTTGTCGTTTAAAGGATCAGTCCTGTGTAGCCTCTAAAACAAAGCAATTTAGTATATCTAATACCCTGCCTGTAATGATGGTCAAGTCAAATACATAGGTCAAACTAGTAGAACAGGGGCAGTCAGACTAACCAAACATAAAAACTTAGCAAAATTTAGATTGGTTGACCCAAATGAGATAAGAAATTGAGAGAATAGTTCAGCTATAGCATTACACGCAATTACACACAACCATACAATAGGCTGGATGGGATAAGATGACAGTTATAAAATCTAATGTAACAGGTTGGGGGGAGAGATTGATAACAATGGAAGCTTTCAAGTGTTGGCTTGTAGGGATTTGATTGGTTTCAGGATTTCATCATGAGCTGACATCAGTTAGAGAACCATTGGAAAACCTGGGAGTACTGGACAGCTGTTTCGTCAATGCTAGTTTGGGACTCTTCAGCAGTGCGCACCCACCGGGATTCGAACCCAGGGTCTTCCGGTTACAAGGTGAGCTCGTATACCATTAAGCCACTGGGACACGATCCAATGGTCCTTGTTTGTCGAATCAACTGCGAATACATGTGATAGGAATGATTCAACACCTGTCCAGCCAGATATCTGGAAAATCCAACTACCTTTATGACCAATAGGAGAAGACAAAGAAAACTACAAAACTCAAATTTCAAAGTCGTGTGATTACAATTGGTATGATTATGAACAATAAATTTTCTTCGAAACGTCATCCAGTAAACAGTAATACTGTTTCACTGTGTGATACATCTAATAAACAAACTAATATGGAATTACTTACTAGCACAGTGCCCAAGTTTTACACATATATTAATCTTCAGGGTTATTTTTAAATTTGGCTAATCTACGGGATAACTGACTAAATGATACCATTCACTCTATAAGTAAGATTAATCCACCCGGTTTAAAAACTGTTTCAACTTACAACTGAAAATGAACCACCTATGGTTCATAAATTTCTGACTACATGATAAAGGTTATGGACTTCTAGAAAAATGTAATGAGAACTTAGGACAGATATACTCCAGTGATTCTAGATGATAGTTGCACAGTGTCGTCAACCGATAGAATATAATATAGAAGATTTGTAGCTCGAGTGGATGATTTTGATGCAGTTGTGTTCTCTGAGCTGGATGGTTTATTCTACGAAGCCTTCATTGCCTTATTTCACTAAGCAACATCTTCACCGCATACTTCAATGTATGTGAAATGAGCTTTAAGATTTCGCCGCGAGTTTATTAGTCATCTCTCCTGGTGGCCTTTAACGTTGTGATTGGTTGTTCTTGTGTATTTTTACATCCTTTAGTCTAGTTTATTGCGTCGGTAGCACAGTAGTTAGAATGCTCGCCGACCATGCACATGCTCCAGGGTTCGATTCCCGGCCAAGAAGATACTCCCAAACCTCGCTTAGCCAGTAATAACAAAAGCTGGTAAAGAGGAAAGGTTGGACATGATGCTAGCAATCCAATCCTTTAAATTTAAACACCAGTGCTACAGAAGCTTGAAGCCTCTACCTTGAAGTCCTATGTTCCACTGGGAACCTGAAGAAGTAAAAAAATAAAAAGTCAACTCGTGGAGAATTCTAAAAGCTCAATTCAAACTAAAGCGTGGCCTGAAGATGTTGCCTAGTAGAGCAATGAAAGCTTATCAAATTAACCATCCAGCTCATAGAATACAACTACATCAAAATCAATCGATAGAAGTTAGAATTCATGGGCAGTCACATCTTAACCTAGTGATTGATTGTTCAACACACTAGTCTTCTAATTCCATATTAGATAAGTTTATGTGATATAACATACAATGACTGGTTCTGTATTACTAAGTAGATGGTATTTTTAGCACAATTTCTAGCTCATAGTCATATCATTGTACTCGCACGATTTCCTAACTTATTTTATACAGTTTTCTAATCCCTCTTGTGTTTTCTTTTAATGCAATTTTTTATACATGCAGGATAGGTGTTACGTCATTACTATTGCATGTATTTGGTGTTGACTTTGTTGTTCTTGTTCCCTTGGGTTCCTAGTGGAACATACGGCTTCAACTGAACGTCTCCATTTGCTTCTGTCTTCTGCTGTACTTTTCATCTATGTTAGTTCATCCTTTTTCAACTCCTCTTCACACGATCTCCTGCATGTCACCCCACCCTCGAACTAACGTCCCACTCGCCGCTTCCGTTTCAGCTTGGTTCCACTCGAGCAATGACCTGACGCGCGCACCATGTCACCCAGCGGCCTCCTCAGCAAGCAACTGTCCAATCCATCTCCATTTCCTCCTGCATATATGTTGGTTGGCGATTGCTTCTTGTTTTGTTTTGTTTCTTCCCATAGTTTCTTGTTGGTGATTCTTTCCGGTCCGGCCATCTGATCTTCAGTATAGAGCGAAGACAGTTGGTTGTTGATAAAGGTCTGCAACAGGTTGTTGGAAATATTCTTTGTGACCCGCTCGTCAAGTTTCTGATCCGCATAGAAGAACTGACTGACTTGACGTTTTTCTATTGAAAGTTCGAGCGAATTTTGTTGTTGATGGTGGCTGAGTGACGAAGATTTCCAGATTGGTTTCAGGTTGATGAATGTGTTTCTCGCCTTTCCAGTGATTCTCGATTTGACATCCCCGTCCGTTCCGACTACATGTAGTTGGGACAATACTCCCTAGATAAGTGAATGAAGTGATGTTGACTTAATGAACGAAATTTCTGTAATTAACCTCTCTCTTCACCTAAGTAAATCACTTTTAAACACTATCTTTTCGTCCTGCTGCGTTGTGTGATTACATAAAGGTGTATGCGTAATAAAGTCTAAGCTTCTTATGAGATTATTTAACCTAGGGGTCAATCATTCTATCTTTGTAGCTTGAAGGTCCTTGATCCGACCTCTGGTGGGGTTATGGATGAAGACTTCAGAATTTAGACGATTTGCGTACAAACTGCTTTCCGGTCTTCATCAGTTCTCTCACCGATATTGATTCTTGACTAAATTCACTTTGAAATGCATCTTTATTCACATTGATAGACGTAATCAGTTAGATCTCTGACCATTTGATTGACTAAAATGCTTTTATCAATGTATGGATGATTGTTCAAATACCTGTTAGAATAAATTCTGACAATTACACTTGCTGAACATTCAGTTACTTTAGGTAGCCTGAATCTATAAGAAAATTAATAAAAATCTCTGAGATCGCACTAATACCTTCTTGACTGAAACACTGGATAGTAGCTATCTCTATTTCAGATGATTAGACCTAGGAGTTCAAACTCCTCACGAATACATCTCACATAGTGTATAGTGAAAAAAAGATTTATTATATTGTGAGGCATGGAAAAATATCCCAAATTAAAGAATAAATTAGCTGATTGTGGGTGATAATCAGATGGTTAGAATGGATTATATAATTTTTTTATTTATTTTATTTTTGATTACAGCCTGATTCCACACTGTATTTTTGGTACAGGTATGGAATTTTCAGCATATAATATCGGTAGCCAAAATTTTACAGGCCGACTAATGATATCAGGTGTGCGCCGGCAGGGGATCGAACCCTGGACCATGTGCATGATCGGCGAGCGTCATAACCGATGTGCCACAGACGCACATTAAATAATAAAGGTATTTACACTATTTATACTTCTGAATGCAATGAAATATTCTGAAAGTTGAACATCTCTGTTAAACTGTCATTATTCAAAAAGTAAATTCAACACATATAGTTCACTTACCAATCCCCACCCAAATAGTATATCGTATCCAAGTTACCCAGGAAAGTTCACTCACCAAAAATATGTTGATTGTTAGTGTTGCACAAGGCAGAAGTGGAACATAAGGAAGCTAAATAAATAATGATTGATTAATTAAAGATTATTAAGTTGCTTACAAGAAAACTAATCATTAAAAGTACTTTAAGATTTACATAATCAAAACATCTTTAGAAACTGTTCTGAAGGCTTTCCGTTGATTTGGATATTTTTAAGTATTGCTTTTTGTAGGGATTTTGTTTGATTAGTTGGAGGATATCATCATGAGCTGACACCGGTTAGAGAACCAGTGGAAAACCTGCATGGAGTACTGGACAACTGTTTCATCCTAGTTTGGGACTCTGATGTTATCTGGTGACTGGCCCTATTCAGGCGGTTAACCTGGGGTTCTAGTGAGAAGTGGTTACCAGTAGGGAACAGCAGGTCGAAGGTGAGGACAGTTACCAATCGAAAACATCGCTAAGTGGTCGCGTTGGGTCGTGAATTGACAGAAGTCGGAATTCCTGAGTTGCTATTCAATCACTTCGGATCCTAGTGGCTCTTATTGTAACCGGAAGGTCTTGAGTTCAAACCGCAGTGGTGGTTTCGTACAACTGAAGAGCCGCAAACTAGGATGACAAAACAGCTAGCTGTCCAGTACTTCCTGGTGGCTTTTAAATGGTTCTATAACTGTTGTTAGTTCATGATAATTCGCATATTGAAATATACTTCATTTTGTATTAATCAGTAGATGTACTTGTATTCATTACCTGAAAAGATATAAGTTTCATGAGCCATTGGATCGGTTCCCAGTGGCTTCATGGTCTACGAGCTGGCTCGCCTTGTAACCAGAAGGTCTTGGGTTCGAACCTTCTGTGGTGGATGCGTACTGATGAAGAGTCTCAAACTAGGACGAAACAGCTATCCAGTACTCCCAGGTTTTCCAATGGTTCTCTAACTAATGTCAGCTCATGATAAAATGAATTTATTTGATATGAAATACAGAAGTACCGCAAAGAACAACTTTTACCCTTATACTTGGTGCATACTTATTTTATAATTTAGACATTTGAAGAATCACGTCATTGAAAGATCTCCAATTAATGTGTACTTTAATGAACTGCTGACATATACTAGCAAACAACGTTTAGGAAATATATAATCAGAACTAAAGGAATAGATTTTTGAGGTGGTTATTTTAATCACAGTGAAGACCAATAGTCTTAGTGTATAAGTTCACTTAATGTCAGTAAAAAGTTTGAGCATTGTGAAATCGATATGTATTCACATGATGTGTGTTTTGTTTTTGACGGTCTATTATATTTTGCTATGTGTATGGATCGATATTTAATTATAACTGACAATATCCTTTTGTCTGTCCACTAACTAAATAAACATGTATGACCTTGTTGTCACATGACATTACAACCAATCATGTTAAGACTGTCTATTTATTGGTTCATGTGTATCAGTCATTTTCGTATATACTTTTGTATTGTATACTTATTCATACTTGTTCCCACGTTTCATACACTACGTACCATTTCACGCACACTCTTGTGTGACATTTATTTTCCTTGTCTGGTACATATAAGTATCATCGTAAACCTGGTGGTCTTCTGATTTCCCTCTATCCGCGTCAGGACTATTAACTACTCGACGAGTACATAACATAATTGGCGACGGGGAAAACTCCAATAACTCACTCAGCAGCAGTACATAACAGAAATAGATCAGATAAGGTATAATTGCATTTCAATAGTTTACACACAAAACAATTCCAATAGTGGTGTGAATGCGGGCAGTAATTATGCTCGAAATATTACCAAGAACAAAACTTATCATTGTGTGTAAACTATTGAAATATAATTATACTTTATTTGTATAGATTTAGTTAACAAAAATTAGTGTGAACCAGATAATCACAGGAACAAATCGAAATAATAGTTGGTATAATTAAAGGCGAGAAAATTAATGGAATGAAAAAAATACAACTAGGCAGCCAAACAGGACTGGATTCATGGTAAATGAATAGCTCCAGCTTCTCGTTGTATATGGTGATGGTTTCTGCAGTATACAGTCATTTACAAAGTGAATGAAAGTCTAACAAATGAGGTGTTTTGCTGAATTCTTTGTACTGGAGAAGCCCTCTCCATACTCAACGAGAAGTCGAAGGTATGTATTCAGAAGAAACTAGTCTAACTACTACATTTATCATGGATGTACTGTACTGTACTGTCTGGGCTTCTTGATTGTCTTTTCTTTCATTCCATTCATTTTCTCATCTTCAGTTATAAAAACAATTACTTCACTTTGTTTCTAAGCTTATCTGGTTCACACCTGTCTTCGGTGAAAACTAGCCTATTTGCAGTATAAAATGATATCATGATTCTATTTCACAGGTTATCATCACCTGCTGGAAACTACCTGAAATTACAATGGTTATAAACAATGACATTTTATACTTGATTGTTTGAAAGGTAATAGAGAAACAATTTTCTAAAGAAGGCGACCATGTTGATACATCAAATAAACTAATGGTGCCATACAAAGTGACTGCCTTGTTTACAAATGTACCAGTGATGGAAAAAATAGACATCATTTGTAAACAAACAGATCTATTGCCATTACCGGAGACAGAAATGAAGCGCCTACTAATTCTTTGCACAAAAGACACCCAATTGAAATTCAGCAACCAATTCTACAGACAAACTGACTAAGTCGTCATGGGTTGACTTTTAAGACGTATTCTAGTCGACATCTTTATAGGTTATCTCGAACAGACGAGAGTGAGTGACGCTATCAACGAAACAACATACTATCTAGTCGATACGTCGATGATACGCTTGTTGTCTGTAACGACATGAGTCAGGAATCCGTATCATTTGACCGCCTTAATGACATCCACCCAAACATTAAATTCACCATGGAATATGAACAAAACGACGAGTTCAATTTCTTGAATCTAAACGTAAAAAGAAGAAACGATGGAACGGTTGATTAGTCCATCTACAGAAAAGAAACCTGGAGTGGACAATACCTTCACTAGAACAACTTCTGCCCTATAGGCTATTATCGGGGATTAGTAAGGACACTTTACGACGTCTATGGCCGTATGCAGGGCATCCCTGGGTTGGGCTACAAGCGAGTTTACATATAAGTAGTGGGCGACTAGATGGTGTAAATCACTAATAATTGGACTATGTGCGATGGTCAAGAAGTTTCAAGCATTACATCATCACGAAAAATGAGACAGTGCTATAACTTCTAAACGAGCTTATTCGAAATTTACTAAAAACATAAAGATTTTTGCATAAGTTAACTTTGTATTTTCCATTGATCGGCCAAATAAAACAACGTTAATCCTCAGACATCGTCGAAGCGTCCACACCACCAGTTCACTTGTCCACAGAGCCTAGCATTTCGGTTGACAGAATTAACCTAGAAATAAATAATAACCGATATCCATTGCACAAGAGGTGGCTTTCCTGGCCCAAGTCGCCAATTGGATATCGCTTTACAGGTTGAAACGATGGGTGCTTCATTCAAGTCTCAACTGGAACATCGCCACTTACTGGGAATGGTGGGTGAATCCGGATGACGAGTCCCTAATAGGACAAAATATGCATCCTGAATTTCATTGGTATTCACCGTCCACCAAGTCACAAAAAATTTCACTGAATAATACTAAGAAGAAAAAGTTGAAGAACATGAATTTGATACTTACACGAAATAAACCTTTGTAAGGTGGTCCATACTGTTGAAAAGTTCCCACTAATAGTATACAGGTTATAAGCAGTAGAAGAACGATTACTACACAAACAATTCGCCATACTGGCCATAATCCATTCTTTGCTCCAATAGTTAAACACATTATTAAAACACCATTTAATACAACATAAGCAGCCATTATAAATATCACTGCATCACCTGGTATACCAGAATTGAAAGCTTTCAACATACAATTTGGCATATAACGAGCATACGCATGTTTTACATATCCAGGTTTACCTATACGCTTTTTGTAATAATCCGTAGTATTAGTGGGCTTTAAAAAGATAGAAAAAAAAGATGGGCAAATTAAAACAGCATATGCAACATTTACATAAATAAGCTTATTTCATATTGACGTGGACAAAAGGTTTTCTTTATCCTTATAATGTTATATAGGGATAGACAGATATGAATAGTGGAACTTTATAATGTTCCTCCATTGTAAGTTTTAACAGAATCTAAAGAGTATATTTCGCTTTGCATGAGAATGATTAGTACAGCTAACATTCTGTCTGTCTGGATTCAACATAGAACTTGGCACCGAAGTGCAGCAGTTCGAGTTGCCACGTTCCAAATAGCACACAGAGGTAGACAAGAAGATGAGTAAAGAGAATCAATACAGTCTGACAAGTATAAGAGTGAAACAGAATGGGTAATGGTAGAAAGGAATATGAAAGATTACAGAGACTGAATACATCTGCGCTGGCCATTGACAACGATTTTGAGCCATGTCACCTATTGTCTCCAGCCATTGATTCCTAGAGTCCCGAGGGCCCCAACCCGGGAGTCTGCATCTCCCTCCCTACCTGACCGACTCAGTTTAACTGTCAAGGATTTCATGGATTGATGAGGCCATGTTTTTGTTTGGCCACCACTGGCTCTTTTCCAACCTGCACCTATATATCAGCTAGCAATGCCCGTCGGGGGAGGCGGTGGTTAGGCATGCGCAGCACGTGACCTAGCCATCTTAGTCTATGTAACTTTATAGCCTCGTCGATTGATTTTCCCTCTTTGCCTGCCCAACACTCTACGCCTAACGTCAACATTACTTACCTTGTTAAACCACCTAACGTGAGACAGAGATCGCAGACATCTATGATCGAAAGCAGTCAACCTTTTCATGTCTTCAACGCGTATTGGCCATGTTTCAGAGCCATAGAGAAGGACGGATGGAGCGAACTGCTGAGCAGTACACACGTCCCTTGGTTGATAACCGGATGTCACGCCTACGCCAGAGATGGTGTAAGTCAGCGAAAGCAGCTCGAGCTTTTCGGATCCGTGCTGAGATTTCATCGCCAATCAGTCCGTTGGTGCTAATACAACTTCCGAAATAGGTGAAGTGGTCAACATGTTCTATCACTTCACTCCCTATCACTAAGCTAGGAGTTGACGTGGTCCAGTCCTGTAGCAACATCTTACATTTTGTAGGGGCGAATCGCATGCCAAACATACGAAGATTGTTGCTCAAGGTGTTCAGAAGACTCCGCATTTTGTCAGCATCCTCCCCTAACAGGACTATGTCATCTGCATATTCTAAGTCCATAAGATTATTCCCTGGTAACAAGTCGATTCCTAAGTCGTTACGTTCAGTTAAGGATACTTCCATCAGCATGTCTATGATGAAGTTAAACAGAAATGGGGAAAGTGGACATCCCTGTCGGACAGAGCTAACATTAGCTATCGCGTTGATGGCATAGTGGTAGAATACTCGAATAACCACGCTGCATGTGGTTAGGACTTAACTCAAAGGTGATCAGGCTCCAGATATGCTCACGAACTGTCTCTCTTAATCAGTCAGTATGATGTTCTTTGCTGCAAGACTACAAATGACGTTCAGTAGCCTCAAGTTGTCCTCCATTTCTGTAAAAGGCAAGTGCCCTCATCTGGCCGTCGTCGTGTGTATCTATTAATTCTCCCGATCTTATGAAGTAAGGTGCACTGTCCATAGACAGAGAACACTTTCCACACGGATACAAGAGAATATGGTTCCACAAGGGAGATAGGAAGGCTGTGAGAAGCTCCATTCTAGAACACAAACGATTTCTGTCACTATACCAACACCGGCCATGATTTTAAGATCATTATCTTTCGAATCCATGCTAACTTGCTGGCCGTGTTTTCTTCGTTATACACTTTTAAAGACAGCGGAGGCCTTGGCTATTCACAAATTCAAGCCAAACCTTTGTGCAAAGAGAAATTTATAAATTCCCTAGTTCTACCTTTGTCGCTGAGAATAAACATTTATTTATTTAGTTAATCTATTTAACTTTCACTTATTACTCTTACTAAAATTATTATTATGATTATTCTCACTTTGAGCTGTTTCTGGTATTGTCGCTCATCCTACTTGTCATTCTAAATCAGAAATCGTTTCGCAGTGTTAAATTCTTTCTTATCAAATTTCACACCATGTTAGGGAGTGTTTTTATTTGCCTATTAATCCGGTGGCACAGTGGTAGAATTCCTGCCAACAGCGCCGTATATGGTTCGGGTTTCGATTCACGGCCACAGACGCACACCCAAACCTCGCTAAGCTAGTAATATAACTAGTAAGGGAAGGCTGGGTATGACACTAACAACCCCATTTCGTAAAAATAAACACCGCTGCTACCGAGACTTCAGGCCTCTAGCTTGAAGCCTTGTGTTTCACTGATAACTTAAAGGAATAAGAGAAAACATTAGCTATCAGGAATCTAATAAACAGTACAGTAGTCTTTGGAATGCGCATAGATGGTTTGGAAGTAAAATGCTTGCCAACCACACAAGTAGTTTCAGTTCGATCACTAGCTGACGTATTTTTAAATCTCATTTAACCTGTTTTTAAACATGATAAAGTGAGAAGATTGGTTGTGAAGCTAGCTTAGTAAAAAGAGATGGTTAGGCATGAGACTGGCAACACTAGCCCGTGAGTAAGCACCACTGACACTGAAACTCCATAGCTCAAAATTTACGCCCTATGTTTCACTCTAAACGCAAAGTAAAGAACAAAATAGTATGTGGGCTGTCTCTGTCATCTGAGAGAAAATACAATAATTATTTATTTACATGAAATCAGAATGTTCTAGCTTTAAGAAGACAACATTCAATGAAGAGTTCTTACATCAGTGGTACACCGTGAAGGTATTAAAAAGTAATGTCCTTAGGTGGAGAGAGAGATTAACCACTGGACTCTACTTATCGATTCAACACCCCACAACACAAGTTCTCCAGTAAAAAATCATCGAATTTAATAGCACGCTATACTCTGCTTCTCAAGATCTGCACATTCTTTGCACTAATATATGTATATATATCTTCGATTGTACAGCTTGATAATAAATTCATTTCAAATAGTCTTTATATTGATGATTACCGTTCCAGTGTCTACTGGGTAAGTAAATTAAAATAGGAAATAGGATTTTATTTGTTCTTGCAGCCTCTTAGGAATGTGTTCTGTCGCAGAGGTCGATGAATCCTCTCTGTGTATGATCTCTGCAGGTAAGGCATATAGGTTATTATTATTGTTCCTTCGGGTTCTGAGTGGAATATAGAGCTTCAACTAGACATCTCCAGTTTCTTCTGTTTCCATCTGTCCGCTTCAGCTGGCTAGCCACACGATTGCCCTTAATCACTCACTTCCTCCTCCAACTCATACGATCTTCTCCATGTCACCCTCGCACGGATGATTCACTAGTTGTTTCCCTTTGGGATTCCCCTCCAGCGATGGCCTGCATTGAGCGTGATGTCATTTGACAGTTTTCTCAGTGTGTGCCCTATTCATCTTAATTTTCTCCAACACATACGTTGAACAATATGTTCTTGGTTAGCTCGTTCTCCGAGTTTCTTGTTGCTAATTCTTTCCAACCGGCCATTTGATTTCCAGTATGCAGCCAGCGAAGGCAGATGTTGATGAATGTCTGCAACTTGCTGGAAATGCTTTTTCTGACGCTTGTGTCAAGTTCCTAACCCATACAGAAGAACTGACTGACTTAACATTTGTATTGAAAATGTGAATCTTGTTCTTTATGCTGAGGTAGAGTGCAGAAGATTTCTAAGCTGATTTCAGATTGATGAAGGTCTGTCTTACCTTCCTGATCCTGGACTTTACATCTTAATCGTCCAGCTTGTGGTTGAAACAATGCACCCTAGATAAACGAAGGAAGTTGCCTCTTTCAAATATTTCCAGTTGGTAGTGACTGGTGCTGTTGGTTGTTGTTGGTGGATTATTTTCACTACCTCTGTCTTCTCTATGTTCATTTGAAATCTTGTCTTCTCTGACTGCTTCTTCAGCCCATATGTTGGTTTTTACCCGCAAGTCTTCGAGTTAGTGTGAGATTAGACATAAATGATCCGCCGAATCCAGAGCTTCTACAGTCTTCTGATTGGTTCAGCGTCCAGTGTCATCTAACGCAAAGTAGATCATACAGACAGACTCTAGAGTTGATTCTTACAGTGCCTTTACATATATATATATATATATATATATATATATATATATATATATATATATATATAAATTCGTTAAAGCGTTAGCCATAAAACAGCTTAAACAATGATTTATGTATTCAAAAATTATTAGTCACTATACTGAAGATGCCTTGGTAATCTAATTTTAGATCTAAGGTTCATTTAACCCAATAATACTTTCACCCTCCCTTCTTTTATTACTCCATTTTCCCGCCTCTTACCTATAGTTGTGACCAGTGAATATTTTGACCCATATTTATTTCAAAAAAGTGGCATTCGTTATGCTGTGTTGCCTTTTATATAAATATGTACGACAAGTACATATGAGATCAGAATGTCCAAAATGTACACTGTACAATTAATTACCTTACATCTTCTTATGGTTTTGTCGAAATTCATAAAAGATAAATTAATAAGTCTTAAAGATTTTGATGTTAAAGAGTGAACACTGAACAAATAGGTCAACAGTGGGATAGATCAATTTCCAGTTATCTCACATAAGAGAGAATATAAGTCATCTACAGTTATACCATATAAAGAGGGGACATCTGAGACACTACGTAGGATTCTTAATAAAGCAGGGATTAGGGTGGCATTCAAACCTACAAACTCACTCAGAGACAATCTCTGTAGGATGAAAGACCCAGTTGACCCAATTAGACAAAATAATATAATTAACAAAATACCCTGCAATGACTGTGAGGTCAACTACACAGCTCAAGCTAGTAGGTCAGGCGTAGTCAGTTTGTCAGAACATAAAAATTTAGCTAAGGTAAGAATGGTTGACCCCGAGACGATAAGTAATTTAGAAAAAGGCTCAGCACTACATTGCACTGCATGCATTAACACACAGCCGTACCATGGGGTGGGAGAGGTTTAAAATTCTAAAAAGTAATCTAGATAGGTGGAGAGTGAGAGAAGTTGATTACTGAATCCTTGTTCATCGAGTCTACACCAAACACCTGCAATAGGAATGAGTCATCACTCATACCTGAAATATGGAAAATACTACTATCAATCAAATCAAGTAAAAATAATGGGACTATATAAATGAAGTTAGGAAGTCGTGTGAGTACCTTGATATGATTATGAGCAATAAATTGTGCTCGAAACGTCATCAGTAAACATTACTGTATAACACTGTGTGACTTTATCAAAACAAAATTTACCCATAATGGAATCCTTGGTTAAAACTGAAATAAACTAAATCTATACAAACTAATACTTTAAAGTCTAGGACGATCAGATTATTGTTTCCTTTAGTTCTTAGAGGAACATAGAGCTTCAGCCGCAAGTCTGCATTGCGTTCGGTTCTCTGCCAACCTTACCATCTACCTCCACGTCTGCCCACATGCTTTCATCTCCTCTTCACATCACCTCCTCCATGTCACCCCACCTTCGCACTGACGACCAACTCGCCGCTTCCCGTTAAGGTTCCATTCGAGCAATGGCCTGTCGTGTCATGTCACTTGAAGGTTTTCTTAGAGTATGGCCAATCCACCTTCATTCCTCCCTGCATATATGTTGCACAAACGGTTGGTTCGCTCCCTGAAATCCCTTCCTATTTCTGGTCTTCTCTGGCCGGCCATCTGATCCTGAGTATTGAGTGAAGAGAACTGTTAATGAACGTCTGAAGTTTGTTTGCAGTGCCCTTCGTGAAGTGGGGCCAAGTCTCTGATCCGTTTAGTACCACTGATTTCACATTTGGAGCTGAGAATCCGGATCTGGTTTTTCATTCTGAGTGCTGTTGATCTCCACACACACACTTGAGACAAATAAAAGCTTTCATTGCTTTCCCAATGATCCTCACTTTGATACCCTCATCACTTACGTCTGCCTGCAGTTGAAACGATGATTTCCAGGTAGGTAGGTAGGTGAAAGAGATTGTTTTTTTCAGGTTTCTCCTATTTATGCTGATTGTTATCTGTCGTTTTTGTTGCTGCTGCTGTTGGCCAGTAATATTCACCACCTCTGTTTTCTCTATGTTCAACTGAAGGAAGTCCTATCTTTGATGCTTCTTCTGCCAACGTTTTCCTTTTCACTTGCATATCTTCCAGTTTTTGGGAAACCAGACATATATCATCGGCAAAATCCAGATCCTCCAAGTGTTTTGTGTGGGTCCATTTTATGCCTGCCTCCTCCTTGCCCACCCGCTGCCTGTCACATTATCCAGACTACCGCAATCAGGAAAATCACTAAAGATAGTAGGCAGCCCCCTTGTCTTACTCCCATCTTCACTTCTTCGAAGGATTCCGTGAGTTTCCTGTTGTGGATTACTTGACATGCAGAATTGTCATACAACTGTTGGATATTTGTTTGCGGCACCCTTTCATGGTAGCGAAGTAGTTGACAAATCACTTCTCGATCAACGCTGTTGAAGGCCTTTTCAAAGTTAATGAAGTTGACATAGGCAGCTGACTGCCATTCCAAGCTCTGTTCAATGATAATAAGTAGTGTTGCGATTACTAATTAAAAAATTATACTATCTTGTCATTTAGGATTGGAATCTTATGGTGTACGATTTTTTAAATTCTATCGATTTTGTGAAAGTGAACAGTGGAACGATTTCAACTCAAAATAATAATTTATCCAACTACTTACTTACCTTATCTTTTTCATTGACTTCTAATTCAATTTGATCAGTTTCACTTATTTCTTGTAAATTGTCTGGTTGACTTCTATAACGTACACAGATAATAGCCAATGCAGTAACTGAATAGGCAATCAATGTGCCTAAACTTAAAAAATCAGCTATACTATCCACACTGAATATTAAAGTTAAGAAAGCAGTTAAAATTGTAATAAATGTTGTAGCCACAACAGGTGTCTGAAAGAAAGAAAAAAAATTAAACAAAATTGCAAATTAAACACGAAATATTTATATTCAAATGTAATTATTGAAGTAATCTGTGCAATAGTGTATCACTTCTTGAGGTAAAGAATGGTTTCCAATATATGTTAGGTTTATTTTTTTAGGGTACAATTGCTTATTTAGCAGGAAAAAAAATGGCGATAATACCATGTGCTTCTCAGAAACCAGACAGCCACCGATGATTGACATGCTTCTAAACAGATAATCAGCATTTCAGTGATGAGATGCAAGTTCTAAAAGTAGAGGTTATAATGTTCCCATCCAGCTAAAGAATCCTAGTCTGATACACATTAAATATGACACTAGATTAGTTTATTATTTAACTATGATTGTACAATTAGAAAGAAGCAAGCGTTCTTTTTCATTGAGCTGGAGCATCAATTCAGGTATTCTTAATAATGATTAACAATTGACTCATTAAGTTACTATTGATATCCAGAAGTTAAGTGATTTTACAGCTGATCAGAGTTATATAACTATTTTAGTCATGAACTTGAAATGAGCCAGCTTCATTTTGTTTAACTGACTACCAATATATTTTAAATAAGTACAAGTATGAATAAGAAATAGTTCACACTTTTAGTCCACGTATATTATCAGCTTTCATAATTTTAATAAGACTCAGGTTAAACTGTAAGACTTCATCATGAGTTGACATAGGTTAGAGAATCATTGGAAAACCTTTAAGGAGTACTGGACAGCTGTTTTGTCACCCTAGTTTGAGAATCTTAAGTAGTAAGCATCCACCGACAGGGTTAGGACCCAGGCGCTTTCAGTTATCACTTAAATCTCTACAAATCAATATATATATGTAAGTATATATGTCTGCATGGATTTTGGCAATTTTAATAGCGCCCTGCTTAAATCCTTGAGCTACCTAATTTCGAATTTATCTGAATGCATCTTATTTTTGTTCCATTTCATGGTGTTTTAACTATTCAGTTACAACCTTGATCGATAATCTGTATTCACGCCTATTTTTAATTAACTTTCAAACTGCTACTTGAGAATTTTCAAGAGGAATGAGGGAACATCATTGCAGGTTATTAAAGTGTGTTTTAAGCAGAACAATAATTCTTCAATTCATAAAAATTATTGACTGTTAATTTACATGAAGTTACTACATGAGGGGGAATACAGAATACAATGAGAATTCTGTAACGTGTATTAAGGTAATTATTATTATTATTATTATTTTTGTTATCACATAACCCTATCTGAAATAACACACAGTGATGCCATATTTATAAAACTGGTAATGAAAATGACAAAAATAATATTTAGGCGCATTGGTTTTTATTGCTGATTTATATTGAAACTATTTCTAACAGTCATATTTGAATCCTGCATTCACAGTTCACTTTGAAAAGTATACCTGTAAAAAGAAACCGCTGTGGAAGAATTATATGACAATTCCCAGTTGATGAAGGCATACAGTGTGATAGCTGAAAGCGCTTGTTTCACAGCATATGTACAAACCTAACCCCTGCAGCATACAAGCGCTGCTGCAAAACCTCTGACAAAATGGCCGTGCAATGATTACTGCAGTACTATTGAATTGCATATTAAAGAAGCTATTACCATACTCACTGGCGCATTAAAGCTTCTGGATTTCAAAGGTCCTCCACCACAGGAGAAGAGCGACCAGCGCTCAGAGACCAATGAAGCGGTTAACGTCACTGACAAGACAATACTTATTCTTGGCACGTATCTGTCAGATAGTAAGTTCTCTTCATCACAGGAGAGTTCCCACCACAGCCTGGACACAGACGCTGCCCCTAAGATAATCGATAAGTCTTTGAGTGACAGTAATAAGAAGAGTGGCACGAGGAAAAGGCGTACCAGGAGTCCGAAACCCGCAGCTAAAGTTACCCAGGGACTTGTAAATCAAGCCTCGCACACACAGGTGGATAGTAGACAGACACGACCAACGAAAGATATCGAGGAGGGCACATACGAAAAATGCAACGTTGTTTCTTGCAAAAAGCAAGATATAGATACCCATAAGGGCCAATTTGTTCACGAAGGACAGAAAGACACTTGCACCGTAGAGCAAGAAAGCCACCTCAAGCAAACCTAATCTCTTCAACAAGTCGCTCATACTTCACAGAGTAGAAGAATCACTAGCTTCGGATTTCAAGGTCAGATTTGAACATGGACTCAACCTTATCAAGCTCCCTTTAGATAAGTTACTCCTAACAACACCATCAGGTGTAACTATGCACAGTTTGCACACAATTGGTCAAAAGGCTGATTTTACTGTAAATCAGCCAGTATGCCTACTCAAAATCACAATAAACAGAGAGGCATCGTATACTAAGCAACTCCCAAACTCTAAAAGGATCAGACATACACGTCCGTGCAGACTTATGCCTAGCAAACTGCGTCAAAGGACAATCTGTGGCTACAGAATTAAACGAACGCCCCAAAAACGGCGAGAAAAGACTTAAGAATAAGGGTTCCGGAGATGTCAAAGTTCGAAGTTTGATGATCCCGAAACCTGTGTGGGTAGGCCACGGAAGCGTCAAACTGACTTAACAGTTTGCTAGAAAGACGCCCCTAGCCTGTTGAACAAACAGACTGAGCTGGGTAATATGATAGACCCCGGAAACCTGGATATAATTATAACCACATGGCTCAGATTCTATGTCACTGGTAATGAAATTAACCTGCTAAACTTCGTAGTGCACAGTGTGTATTAAATCAAATAAGCGTGTCTAATATGGAATAATATTTTACCACAGCGCCCAAGTTCCACACTTTCATTATTATCGTTATTCATCACTTGTTCGGAGTTAACTAAAAGGTGATCAGGCTCCAGATATGCTCAAAAACTGTCTCTCTAAATCAGTCAGTATGATGTTCTTTGCTGCAAGACTAAAAATGACGTTCAGTAGCCTCAAGTTGTCCTCCATTTCTGTAAAAGGCAAGTGCCCTCATCTGGCCGTCTTCATATGTATCCATTAACTCTTCTGATCTTATGAAGTAAGGTGCATTGGCCATAGACAGAGAACACTTTCCACACGGATACAAGAGAATATGGTTTCACAAGGGAGAAAGGAAAGGTGTGAGAACACTTAAACGATTTCTGTCGCTATACCAACACTGGCCATGATTTTAAGATCATTATCTTTGGAATCCATGCTAACTTACTGGCCGTGTTTTCTTCGTTATACACTTTTAAAGACAGCGGAGGCCTTGGCTATTCACAAATTCAAGCCAAACCTTTGTGCAAAGAGAAATTTATAAATTCCCTAGTTCTACCTTTGTCGCTGAGAATAAACATTTATTTATTTAGTTAATCTATATAAGTTTCACTTACTACTACTACTAAAATTATTATTATTCTCACTTTGAGCTGTTTCTGGTATTATGTCGCTCGTCCTACTTGTCATTCTAAATCAGAAATCGTTTCGCAGTGTTAAATTCTTTCTTACCAAATTTCACACCATGTTAGGGAGTGTTTTTATTTGCCTACTAACCTGGTGACGCAACGGTAGAATGCTTGGCAACTATGCATGTGGTTCCGGGTTCGATACCCGGCCATGGACACTCCTCTACCTCACTATGCCAATAACAAGACTGAAAATGAGGGAAGGTTGGACATGAGGCTAGCATCCCCATTTCGTAAAAATAAACGCCACTGCTACCGAAACTTGTAGCCTCTAGCCTGAAGCCCTATGTTCCACAGGAGAAGGTAAAGAAATAAAAAAATCCGATAATTTTAAACCGCCTACAATATCTATACATCCTATGAGCTATTCTTCTTATGATATTGTTTGCTTTGTCACTTGAAGCTTGATATGTAACTCTGGTTAAAATCACAAATATTTTAATTTGTATTTCATACTACTATTATTATTTTATGTATTCACACCTTTGATGAAATTTCCTCACAGGATATAATCTCTTAAACAGCACACATACACGATTGTACAGGTTGATAAAAAATTGGTTGTGAAGAGTCTCTTCGGTGAATATTGTTTCCTTAATGTGCGTCAGTTGTACAGTGGTTAGGGTTCTCACCGACCATGCACATGGTCCGGGTTTCGATCCCCTACCGACGCACGCCTGATATCAATGGTCGGCCAGCAAATTTTAGACTACCGATATCACATGCTGAAACTTCTCTACTTGTACCAAAATTACAGTGTGGAATGAAGCTATAATCAAATATAAAAAGATATACATATATCTTTATCTGCCATAAAAAACAAAAAATGGCGTTTAAATTTACCTTGAAAGGTTGACAGAGATGAGAAAATATCGTTGGAATTAATCCATCTTGTGCCATAGCATAACTAATTCTTGGTGCAGCAATCAATGATGTTAAAAGACAAGCAATTAATCCAATCAGTGAACCAACTCCAACAAAATAAAACATTCCTACTCTTACACTTTGTGGACCACCATTGAGTATATTGCCTTTCAATGCACTGAGAAATGAACTTTCTGTACTTATTAAAAACCAAGGATAATATAAAGCCAATGATAAAGAAGACACTGTAGTTACAAGCGCTACAATAAATACAGCAATAATATTTGCTCTAGGTATACTATAACTTGGATTTTTTGCTTCTTCTGCACAAGTTGATATAGCATCGAAGCCAATAAAGACATTGAAACAAATAGCTGTTCCACCTATCAGACCTGGAATTCCAAATGGTAAAAAATTTGGATTTGGAGATAATGGATCCACAGTAACATTAGGCGCTGTAATTGTTAGATACTCTGGTTTACTGTAGACAAACATGTATATAGAAGTCACCGTCAATACTCCAACATTGATAAATATTGAAATCGCAGTTACTTTTGCACTGCCACGAATTCCACAGCAGGATACAATAGATAGAACAATAGTTAGTAATACACCAACAAAGTCCAAATATTCAGCCAATATTCCACCTGGTGGAGATAACCTAAAGAGGTAAAGAAATATACACACAGTAAGAATTTTCAAGCATTGGTTTTGTAGGGGATTTTGTCTGATTAGTTCGATGGTTTCATCATGAGCTGACATCAGTTAGAGAACCATTGAAAAACCTGCACACAGTACTCGATAACTGAGACTCTTCACAGTAGGCACACACCACCAAGGTTCGAACTCAGGACCTTTTGGTCACAAGGCGAACTTACTGACCATGAGAGCCACTGGGAAGCGATCTGTTCCAATAGCCAGCCCATGAATTCCAACTTCCACCAATTAACGATACAGCGCGACTGGCACTAGCCGATGTTATTATCAGCGAGTATCGTTCCTTACGCATGACCTGCTGTATCCTATTGGTCGCGGCTTCTCACTATGACCCCAGGTTACCTGCCTGACTAGGGCCAGCCGCTAGTGAATATCAGATCAATTTTCAAGTATTCGTTTCGATTCAAACCCCGGTGGGTGAGTACTACTGAAGAGTCCCAAACTAGAGCGATAAAAACAGCTGTCCAGTACTCCATGTAGGTTTCCCAATGGTTCTCTAACTGATGTCAGCTCATGATGAAATCGTTCAACATTAAGAATCCCCTTATTTAAAGGAACAAATAAGAAGGGAAGGGAAGTAACACGAAAGTCAGTGGAATAGTCTCGCCAAACGACACATCTTTGCTCACAAAGCCTATATTTGCTATTTTTAATTGAAATATCTGACAAGCTTATCACCTGGCAGAGTGGTGAGTAAAGGCGAAAACAAAACCCTGGTTTGTAGCTGGATTTGAATCTGGTATTCATTGGACTTAATTACCCGTTGTAAAGCAGTCAGTGAGTCATGTTAATCAAGGTAAGCTGAACCTTACATGGGGTTGCATATTTTTCAACTGTGTTCTACCAAGTTGGATATGCATGTCAGATAAACATCTCATAAACAGATAGCTAACCAATTATCACTATTTTCATCACCTTAAAATTCTTAGTGAAAAACACCTAATAAAAACCGTTTGTAATCCAGAGATATAAGTTTTAAAGGTACTGTTTTTACCTCACCATTCTAACTGAAGATATTCATTGGTGATATGTCAATACATACTGCCGTGAACATCTTATTTTATCACAGAAAGAATAGTCAGACTGAATCTTTAAGTCATTGTTAAAAACCTATTTAAATTATTACCACGAGTAATTACGATCCACTTGCTGTAAGCCGATAACGCTTATAAGTCAAATCAAATCGATCCAAACACTGGCTATTTCTCTCATTTGAAAGTGAATTACAAGTATGTCCCTAGAAAGGGCTAGTAGTTAATGCTCAGAAGTGGTGTTGGTTTATAGTTGCACTGAAATTTAAGATTGACTAGAGTCAGAAGTAATGCACTAAGATATTCAAAGAAAAGCCCACTTCAATGACATGTGGTTTCCGACAATTCAATAAACAATATCAGTCTAATTATTGAATTGAATTTTTGATTTTCCCGTTGATTGATTGGACCGAAGTGCTCGGCCTCAGGTTGACATGTCGGCTTCTTGTGCAGATACTTTGACAGTGTCTGGGCATGTAATTAGAATTAAATTGATGGATGGTGCCTAGCAGTGGAATCCAGGACGCGCATTTCATCTTAATTGGTCTAGTGGATAACGCTTTGGCGTTTGAAACTATGGACACTGGGTTCGAGCCTCGGTGGGAACATCACCACTCACTATGGTGTGCAGGTACATCCAGATGATGAGCCCCAAACAGGGCGAAACGCGTGTTTTCCTGGATTCCACTGCTAGCCACCATCCACCAATTGAATATCAGTCTAAGATGAAAAATATTTTAAGTATAACAATCACCATAATACGCATAGATAAAAAGTGTAATCGTTAACTAATTAATCAACCAAATTGGATGTATCAGAATCCCACTAGACAGCGCATGAAACTTACCTACCAACAGTTTCGATTGTCCATTTACTAATATGATTATCAGCCAAACTGTCAAGCATACTACTCCAACAACGTGCTACCAATGATATTCCCAAAATATACTCCAGCAGTATTGACCATCCAGTAATGAAAGCAGGAAACTCGCCCATAATAATATAAGTGTATGTGTATGAAGAGCCAGCCTGAAAAAATAAGAGAAAAGGAGAGGATAGATAAACTTATATTAAAAAACAGACATTATATTAGAATAAATTATTTGTATAAGTCTTTTGTATAAGCCTTAGTGGTATAAGCTTACAATACACTTAGAATCAGTGAGTCTGCAGCTCTAATGACCCCTTTATTTTAAGGAAATAAGTTATCATTAAGTAACATCAATTGAAGCAACAGTAAAATGAACAGGGAAGTTATAGGAACTACTGAAAAGATATTTTAGTAAAAAAGACAATAAGATATTCAGGAACAGGATGGAGGATTTCATCGTGAGCTGAGATCAGTTAGAAAACCACTGGAAAACCTGTATGGAGTACTGCGCAGCTGTTTCGTTCTAGTTTGAAATTCGTCATCAGTACCCACCCACCACCAGGTTTCGAACCCAGGACCTACTGGTCAGAAGCCACTATGACTCAACTAGATCCAATAGCCAGCCCATGAGTTCCAACTTCTTCCACTTCGATGAGAAATTGTCCTCACTTTCGACCTGCTTCACTCTACTGGTCGTGGCTTTCCACTAGAACCCCAGGTCTCTGCCTGAATACAGCTAGTTGAGTCGCAGCGGGTGCGTACTGTGAGGAGTTCAACACCAGGACAAAACAGCTGTCCAGTACTCCCAGGTTTTCCAGCGGTTATCTAACTGATGTCATCTTATGATGAAATCCTCCATCCAATCAAAAAAAATCCCTAAAAAACCAATACTTGAATATTTAGGAATAGTAAGAAGATTCTATATTTGTTAAGCTTATGCAAGTAAATAATAATTTATTGATGTTTCGAACAAAATTCATGGCAATGTGATTCGAGGCTGGATTCCTGACCAACTCACATCTAAACTTCTCTAAGCTGTTAGTAAGGCCTGTCAAAAGAGAAGATGGGGTGTGAAGATAGCAACTCCACCACGTGAAAATAGAACTACAGCTACCGAAAGTTCAAAGCTCTAGCTTGAAGTTGTATGTTCCACTTGGAAGGCAAGGGAATAACATTTTTTAAAATGAAAATAATCATATCAAAGTAATCACACAAACTTCTAATTTGTTCTTAATTACTTATTTTACTGTTAGTTGAATTTTTAACATACTTCAAAATCATATTATTCAACTTCAACATTGGGAAGTACAGAATCCAAAGCATATGGTCCTGATTCCAAGGTATAACAGGAATATTGGATGCATATAATCTGGCATTAAGTAGTCTGGTGGTAGTCAGCCTGAAGCCTTTGACGTAAGTCATAATTCTTCTCCCTTCATCCATCACATCAGTTTGTGAGAGTGTCACGTCTTCTTATTTAGATGAGGTGGTGGGATGGGGCTTAGCCCCAAGAATTGTCTCTCATTGACTTTTATCAGACCATGTGTATTCCGCTGTGATATTCTGACCATCCTCAGCCTACTAATTAAGTTAATATTTTTTGCCTTTCAAAACAGTTGTACTTAATTAAATAATCATAGGTACTTAAAACTCATCCAGAATGCTTATATTCAACAATAATTGAGCATGAATTTCATCACATGTGAGCTTAAGATTTTTGTGATTATATTAAGGAAGAATAAGGATTTCTTTTGATATCAACTAAAGTAAAGCGCAACTTTCTTTCCGAAAGATCAATGATGGATGAAGTTATTCTGTAATTCACATGAAACTTAGTCGCTTTTTTTAGGTATACATCGACTTTGTTTGATTTTATCTGAGTTTCTGCGACTTTGTTTTGTATATGCATCAAATTTGGGCTTTTATTTCACACATTTGGTAACAGTTTTATCTTTCAAGTAATGGTTTTGCAGGGACTGTGTCTGATTGGCTCAAGGGCTCTCTAACTGACGTCAGCTCATGATGAAACCCTCCGTCCAATCAAACAAAAAGTCCCTACAAAACGAATACTTGAAAATTAATCTGATGCTCACTAGTGACTGGCCCTATTCAGGCAGTTATCTGGGGTCCTGGTAGGAAGCCGTGACCACTAGGATGCAGCAAGTTAAAAATGAGGCCGTAACCCAACGAAAAAGACATTGCGAATCGGTAGCGCTATGTCATGAATTGACAGAAATTAGAGTTAATGGGCTGGCCGTTGGATCTGGTCGGATCCCAGTGAGTGGCTTAATGGTCTCCGAGCTGGCTCGACTTGTAACCAGGAAGTCCTGCGTTCAAACCCTGGCTGTGGTTGCATATTGTAAACAGTTCCAAACTAGGATGAAACAGCTGAGTAGTACTCCCTGGTGGTATTCCAATGGTTCCCTAATCAATTTCAGCTCATGATGAAACCTTCCAACCAATTTTATCTTTATCTGATCAATGCTTTCGTTGTGTTATTCTTATCATTATCGTCTCAGCCATTGTAAAATTTTGTTATGACATCAATGTAAATTAAAATAAATTACCAAATTTATCTGTGATTTTTTCTTGAAGAATCAACAGTATTATCTATGTTAAATCCCCCGCTATCTTCACTTTGTTTATAATGATGTTGATTTTGGTTAAGTGCACTTCATTACAACTTATTATTGTTTTCATTATCATTGTAATTTCAAGTATCGATATCACTTGAAACCTCTGAATATCAATTGCCTTCTTTAATAATATTTTGTAATTCTGTAATTACTCTACTCCAACTCTATCTCCTTTTAGGGAAGCCTACTGTCGTTATCATGTGTAATTGACTAGGTGATTTTTCTAGTGGCTGCCTACTTAAAACATGGGAAACCGAAAACTTCCATCTCTTTATTCCATATTTCTTCTCTCATTCGGTTGGTTTTAATCGATTAAGATAGGATTTCTACTGGTATTATCTACTCTTAGGCGTATTGAAAGTGTTCACAAGCTTCTGATTCGCAAGTTACTGTTAAACTTGAGTAGTACCCTGATTGTGAGTGATAATGTATTTCAATACATGAGATAACTGTTCTTCATTTATGTCCTTGGGTCTCAAAGTGTAATTCTGAACATCTTATCATTGGCTTTCAACTAGATGGATGTTGTGGATTTCTTGAAGAAGATAAAGCAGATATATCATTATAATGGAATGGTCTGGGCTTCAGCTCAGACATTATTGTGTCACAGGAAGGATATACTGTCAATTAATTGATATTTTACCCGAAGATATTGTACGAAGAGAAAATATCACGTAATGAACTCAAAAAATTCTGTACAGAATATAAATGCTCTTCAGTATGAAGATGTTTTTATTATTAGTGGCGTCTAATGAATTATTACGTAACATTAATACGACTATATAGCTGGATAATAAAGTTTTTTTAGTTGTTGAATCAAATATACAATATGCAAATTAAAAATCCCCATAGTATAATCAGAAGAAGATGATTTTAAGCAAACAATTATGGTTTCGATAAACTCTTCTTCCTCAGGCTGGACAATCATAAATCCATGAATATTATGATATAAATAGCCAAAAAGGTTTCTGATATAATTTTCAAATGCCTTTAATGGCTATATCTATTATAATATTCATGGATTTATAACTGTACAGCCTGAGGAAGAGTTTATCGAAACCAAAATTGTTCTAATTTGCAAATTAGTTAGCAATTTACAGTCTACGCCATTCGGGGAGGTGAAATCCCTCCGTAGTTTCCTCTAGAAACATAAATTATCCAGATCGCAGGTTGTGATCTGCTTAATACCATCATAAATGTTAATCAAGAAAGCGAGCATGTTTGCATAAAACTACATACTACTGATTGACTGAGATGAGTAGTTGTATACCACGCACAATGACCAGTAGTGCTTGCTAGTCAGGTCGAGGTGATCTAAACACCCGACAGCCGTTTCGTCTGTGGGAGACCAAGCTTATCAGCTCTGTACCCAGTTAAACTCAGTTCAGACAGCCGAATCAATTAAAATCACTCAATTAGCACTTGTGGTATCATGGTGGACATCTACTGCAATGCCAGCAATTTATGTTTCCAATCGAAACTATGGTGAAAATCCCCCCGTCTCCCTTGAACTGTGTACACCGCGAATGGCTAACTAATTTGATTCATGATATCACCAGTTCTCGCAAATATCTAGCCGGAGATTGGGTGGTTGAAACTGTCTCGGTTCTCTGATCTGAGTCTAACTGATGAACTCGACCACGAACGGGAGGAAAAATCCGTCCCGTGATTAGATCGCCTTGATCTGTCTAGCAAGCACTACTGGTTAATCTGAGCGGTATGCAACTATTCATCTTAGTCAACCAGAATATAGTATCATGCTGTCATCCAGTTTAATTTTAATATACATGAACTACAGATATTGATGGCACTCAAGTTTTGCAAGATGTTAAAACACCTGTCGAAGGCGTTCTACTTTTCTGTGTTTTGTGATACAATACACCTAAAAATGGACTAATCCAAAGAAAAAGCATTTTGATTGTATGTGCTTTTATTACTCTTTGAGCCTGGTCAGTCGTTTTATGCACCTTTTAATATTAACATAACAAGAGTTAGAATTTAATCAGTGGATGGTGACTAGCAGCGGACTCCAGGGTGCGTATTTCGTCCTGTTTGGGACTCATCATTTGGATGTACCTGCACACCATAGTGAGTGATGATGTTCCCACCGGGGCTCGAACCCAGTGTCCATAGTTTCAAACGCCAAAGCGTTATCCACTAGACCAATTAGGATGAAATGTGCATCCTGGACTCCACTGCTAGGCACCATCCATCAATTTAATTCTAATTACATGCCCAGACACTGTCAAAGTATCTGCACAAGAAGCCGACATGTCAACGTGAGGCCGAGCACTTCGGTCCAATCAATCAACGGGAAAATCTAAAATTCAACTAAATAACAAGAGTTAGATTACGAAATGAGATCAGTCCGAGAACTACTGGAAACTAGGGAGTACAAGACACCCGTAATGTCCTAGTTTGGGACACTTCAGTGCCCCATAACTCCTGGTTTCTAAAAGATCACTAAGTGATGTCACTTCGTAGTCAGACTTGAAACCAATCAAGACCCGATGAAGTAACACATGACAAGTAAATATAACGGGTTGCATTTGTTTAAATCAATAGAACATGTTTAATTTTGTGCATTAGGGTAGATATTTTAATTAATTCACCCAATATTTATTTATTTTATTTATTTCTGATTACAGCTTGATTCCACACCGTATTTTTGGTACACATATGGAATTTTCAGCATGGATATCGGTAGCCCAAATTTCGCAGGCCGACCATAGATATCAGGTGTGCGTCGGCGAGGGCTCGAACCCCGGACAATGTGCATGGTCGGCGAGAATCCTAACCACTGTGCCACCGACGCACATAACATATATTCAATCTTAGTTCTTGAGTTCTCATACAGTAGGATCCATGTTGAACATCTAAAGCACTGACCACTACTACTCACGTTGCCTAACCCAATCTGTGATAAAGAAGCCCACATACACTGACCATGATTAATGATCAATACGCGGTACACGAAATGTTGAAAAGTTATTCAAATACATCAGAAAAAAATGTACATGAATCCTAGTTCCTCCATAATCCTATGTGTTTGGATGACTTAATAATATATTTTACAATATTATCCTTAATAACATGTTTCCTGAATGCACTACTTAGCCGACGAATCTCTATCATATTGAATTTATAATATCAGCTTAAAACGATGTAAGTAATCCCAATGTGTACATATCAATCACCTTATCTAATCTATCAGCAGTGTCACGAGATTAAACCACATCTGATTAATTCTAGTTCACTGGATTCATATCTTCTCATTTTCAGTAAAGAGATCAGAGGCTACAGTTATTGGTGAATGCCATTATAAAGGAGAACTTATTTCAACAAGATTTAAACTACTAATCGATTTAAATCATTTTACACCACTAGAGCCAACCAGTGGTGCTTGTTACTGGATGATAATTTTGCTTCTTTGTGACTTAAAAACATCCGCGATGTAAGCGTTTCAACACATCAGAGGAAAGCCTGATGACTTGAAACCACCCAAAATAAACTTTTAATGACAAGTTTTAAATATAGTTGACAATTTCCATTTACCTTTGGTATACGACACGCTAATTCCGAGTAGTTCAGAGAATTAATTAGAGCGACAAATGCAGCCAGGATATAGGCAAGAAATACAGCTGGTCCAGTTCGCCTGTTCATCACAGCTCCAGTAAGGACGTAAATACTGCCTCCAAGCATAGATCCTAGAAGTTAAGACAAGATATAAGGAATAAATCGAATAATAAATCAATAACATACATGAAGGTTAGTTTTGGATGTAAGATTTCACTTAAACCTATTAAATACAATATACCCGATATACACGAGAACAAAACACTACCAAAATATATAACGGTTATTGGCATCTGTTTGAAGCTAATATGAAGCCAGTTTGTTGCAAACCAAAATAAATTCAATCTCAGAAAGAAGAAATACTCTAATGCTTATCTGAATATGTAGGTAATCAAATGAGTAGGCTACGCAGGAGATATTTTTAGATAGTGATGTCAGACAGTAGGCTATGCATATAACACTTACCTGACTGTGCTTTTTGATGGGAATATTACTAAATTACTTCAGCTATACATATCAGCACAGTATACTGAAAACACCTTCATGGATAATTTAAATTGGATGAACACTGATCCTTTCCTTGTAGCCACACGTTTAAAGGTTATGCTGGGTAAGCCGGGCTAACTGCCTTCTTTAAAAATTAGAAAGTAAATACCAGCACCCATGCGAATAGGTATTCACCTAAGAGAGTTCAGAAATTCTGGTTCCAAATTCGGATGATGCATAGATCTATTTTATCCACCTGAAGTGATGGAAATACAGCCTCTGGTATTTCTCAGTCGGCTTGGCGATCAGATGTTAGATCACGCACTTGGTACAGCCACCGTTAGACGAATTGTGAAGTGACACCTACGGTTTCTCAGATAATATAATCAATAGTTGGAGGCAGCTAGTAGGAAGCTTTGGACCTAGGTTTCATGAAAGTTAGCGCTCGTCAGTGAGGCGTATTGGCAACCTTGAAAGAACAGACGCCCGCATCATCTAGTACTGTTGTCAGAGACATTACTACCGTGAGGCTGTATACGCGATCTCCTTTGATCCACCATCGTATTCCAGATACTTTGTAAATTGCTTATAAACTTATTGATAAAATGTATGATAGATTCCATCCAGTCTGACGGTGCAATATTTACATGTCAATTCCCCAGCGAATTCTAGAACACTGTGATTCCTATTGTAAGTCGAAAATCATTGTATTTTGTGATATCAGAGCTGCCTTCGATTTTTCCTGCATGAATTTTCCTTAAAACTATCTATTAGAGGGACTTGTCCACTTGATGTTCTTCAGCATTTTGAAAGCTCCACCTAAAAACACCCGACGAAGAGTTTTTTTGGTCCCAAGTATATCCTTCTAATTATCAAATAAATAGTCAATCCTTTTTACTCTTAATTATTAGTGAACTTTTATCATTCCTTAATTGTGTTACCTTCAGTTTCTACAGATTACTTCTTGTTATCCTGGGAGAAGTGCATCCAAATTTTAATTTTATCTGATATTTTTGTATTGTTCAGGTGTATAGCCAGTTGCGAAGAAGAATCCTCGAAATAATAAAAAAATGAAGCCAGGCAACAGTAAAGATTAGACACTTAAGTCAAATGACCATGAACCAACCAATCAAACTCCTATAGTTGAAAATTGGCATCCATTGCATGAAAAAGAGTATTTATAAGTGTGCGTCAGTGGTACAGAGGTTAGGACTCTCGCTGACCGCGCATATGGTCCGGAGTTTGATTCCAAGCCTACACACACTTTATATCGATGGTCGGCCTACAAAATTTGGGCTACCGATATCACATGCTGAAAATTCCTTACTTGTACCAAAATACTGTGTGGAATCAAGCCATTATATAATAATAGTATGTAATTTAAGTGAAGTATACAGGACATATGTGCGTCAGTGGCACAACGGTAGGATACTCGCTAACCACACGTATAGTCCGGGGTTCGATCCTTAGCCACGGACGCAATTCTTTACCTCGCTATGCCAGTAATAAGACTGCTACTGAAATTTCAAAGCTCAAGCTTGAAGCCCTCTGCCCCACCGGGAATAAAGGAATAACATGCTGCAAAATTGGTCTCAGTTTCTCATAGGAGTGTCTTTCGACGTATGAAACCAACGTTGATACAAAAATTCTTCTTAGGGGCTGCTGCTTATGTCATTTCGGGAACCATTTAACGTTCTAGCACATTTTTCAGATAGGCCCAGAATCCTACAGAAGTACCACTTATGGGATGCATTAATTTAGAAGGATGATTTAATTTATGATGAATATTGCCTAATGATGATCATTGAGAATAGCCTTTCACTTCATCTGCACGAATAGTTATACCTGGGAAAACTGGTCGTTGTATTATTGGTATTAAAACATTGGCACTTCTGTTTAGGATGCATCCTACTTACCCTTTCGAAGATTTTTTATCGTACAGTTCCAGCACCCAAACATAGATTACTCTTCTCTTACAGCGATTTACTTTTCGTTTAAGAAGTACTGCTTCATAAGTGTGAACGACTGCACCGATTCCTCCAAGTACTTAAGTAATTCCATTGATTTTTTGTGAGACAGTGTCTCAACAGTGATGATACCAACCACTACATTGTTGACATTTAAGTATTCTCTGTTTCTTTAGCTGTAGCAGATACTGGTCGTCTAAGTAGTCAGCTGTGGTATATACGCAGTAATCTACTAAGGCAGAGTTTCAATTTTAAGATTTTATTATTATTGCTCCCTTGGGTTCCTAGTGGAACATACGGCTTCAACTGCACGTCTCCATTTTCTTCTGTCTTCTGCTATACTTTTCGCCTGCTTCCATGTTAATCCATATTCTTTCAACTCCTCTTCACACGATCTCCTCCATGTCACCCTTGCACTGACGTCCCACACGCCGCTTCCCTTTCGGGTTCCACTCGAGGGCTTGATGCGCGATGTCACCCAGCGGTCTCCTCAGCGAGTGTCCAATCCATCTCCACTTTCTCCTACATATTTGTTGGGCGATTGGTTCTTGCTTCGTTTGTTCCCATAATTCCTTTTTGGTGATTCTTTCCGGCCATCTGATCTTCAGTACTGAGCGAAGATAGTTGTCAATAAAGGTCTGCAATAGCCCGTTGAAAATATTCTTTGTGACCGGCCAAGTTTCTGATCCGTATAGAAGAACTGACTTTACGTTTGTATTGAAAATCCGACCGAATTTTGTTGTTGATGCCGGCTGAGTGACGAAGATTTCCAGATTGATTTCAGGTTGATGAATGTGTTTCTCGCCTTCCCGATTCTCGCTCGATTTGACATCCTCGTCTGCTCCTCCTGTAGTTGGGACAATGCTCCCTAGATAAGTGAATGAAGTAACCTCTTTCAAATCCCTCCCGTTGATGGTGATTGACGTTGGATGTTGTTGCTGTTGTTGGTTGGTTATTTTCATAACCTCCGTCTTGTCTATGTTTACCTGGAGTCCTGTCTTTGCTGCTTCTTCGACCAGTTTGTCGGTTTTCGCTTGTAAGTCTTCGATTGTGTGTGACATCAAACATAAGTCATCCGCGAAGAAGATAGTATCTTATAAATCACCATAATGTGCAACTTACCAAAAACTCTTATATATTTTCTAGCATAACGCAGTGACTGCATCTGAAAACATAACCACCATCAATAGCCTGGTAATACTGCTGAAGAATCATTATCCCTGAACATGTGCATGTTTTAGTCCTTCCTATCATCAACTCACTTTCTACATACAGAAGTTAAAAACCAAATCTGGCTGAAACCTTCAATAGAGATTATGAATAGCTTGCATTTGTAATGCTGAGTGATCTGATTGGTTGGTTCAGGGTCATTTGAGTTCGGTGTTTAATTTTTTTTCACTGTTGCCATGAGGCCATACTATTCTGGCATATATGCATTTCTTGCTATATTCAAGTTTGTTAATGGAAAAAATTATATCAAATTCATGATAAATGATTGACATATCTTATATTTAGAAAAACTGTGGTGGTGTGAATCAGACAATGTGTTCCAACAGAATATTATTCTCAAATATTTCCACAGTTAAATACTGCATTAGCAACACAATCCTATGTATATTTGAACATTCCATTTCACGTCGTTTATTGTAGACTAAAATCAAACGCTCAATGACTGCTAAAGAATATAAACTGTATATAAATAAATAGCTATTTGATCACTTAAAAATGCACCTTGGCTTCCATGTGTGGCCTTCTGTTTTTACAAGACTAGTTATCTCCTCAAATATATCATCAATAAAAAGTTTAAATCCAAGCTACATACAAACTGAGTGAACATTGATTTATATAACAAACAGCTTTCTGTTTTATTCCTTTACGTTATCAGTGGAACATACGGCTTCAAGCTAGGGCGTTGAAGTTTCGACAGCACTGGTGTTTATTTTTACAGGATGAGGTTGCTAGCCTCATATTAAATCTCCCCTCTTTACCAGTCTTATTACTGCCTTACCGAGACAAAGGAGTGTGTCCATGGCCGGGGACTGAACCCTAGATCACATGCGTGTTTGGCAGGCATTCTACTACTGGGCCACCGACGTACATTACAAACAGCTAGTCATATCTAATCACTTGTATATAGTAACGATTGTACAAATATTGGCTTTGAATTGCATTATATCATGGAGTTATATAATAATATATAATTGAAAAGAAACAACTGTTCATGAAATTGGAATTTAATGGGGACGCGGCTAGCGGAGTCTTACATCTGAGATTATCGAGAGCGATAAAACGGACTTATACTGCCTCCATCACCCTTTATTTGTCATTTTCCAACTGCCAACCAATTATGATTGCTCAAGTGAAAGACAAGCTGCCTGCCTAGCTGTGCCACTTCTATGTGTATCTATCAATTTAGTTGCCCCTATGGAGAGATCTATATAGGGCGAACAACTAGACAGCTTAACAAATGCATTAATGAGCATCTTCCTTCATGGTTCGGAAAAGGTCAAATAAAATCTATAAGAAGTTCTATTTTGGCTCATTTGATTGATGATAGCGGTCACCAAGTGGACAAAAATAGTGCCTTCAAAGTTATCTAACGCATTCCATCGAGTCTTTCGAACGGAATCAGAACCCGTCTATTACACTTAGCCGAAGCTATGGGAATCAGAGAGAAC